AACATGTAAACTGGGTCAAACTGACTAGATTATTAGGCTAAATGTGCATAAAAACCCTTCAGCTAAAAGCAACACTATCTAAAAATGGGAAGTAAAGATGCCATGTTCCCACCCCCCAGCCCTGTGTGATTTGGAAAGATGGCTCACCTGAGCATCTGCCTTCATTTACAAAACCTAAGTGCCACTATGTGATTCTTTTGTTTCTTTTGTAAGTTCTTCCCCCATGGTATAACCCGTTTTCACTGTCTTCGATTCTGGTGTTCTGCATGTTGTATATACATTTTTGTAATTTGGGGAGGAGAAGGGGTTAGAGGAATGCTTAAATGGGATGCAGGCTGACCCATTGTGACAATGAGATATACAGGACACTATGCTGAAAACAAACTTTACAATATCAGGGGTGGGGGAGGGAGGAGTTGGGGAGGTGGGGAGGGAAGTGATGGTGGGGGGAAATCAAAGGAGGAGGTAACAATGCTTGATAGGAAATGGACTCTTACCCGATTCATGTATCATGTAACTGTAACCCCTCTGTACAGTATCTTTACAATATAAATATATGATTTTTTAACATTAAAAAGCAAAACCAAATTTAAGTGCCCAGAGCTAGCATTTGATAATGTCTCGTGATCTCTTAACCTGGATTGTAGAGTCATGTGCTTCCCGAGGAATGCTATTTGGCATTTTGCAATTAAGCTCTGGAGCCAGTTTGTATTACTCATAGACTTTTGCAAGTCTCTGGTGATTTTCATATTAGAGTGCCAAACTGAGCTGAAATGAACTATTACTTTGACAAATGAAGGCTTACCTCAGAATTTGAATTAAGAGAAAGCTTAGGCTAACAGTTAACCCTAGACTAATATTTATTTTACTAATGTTAGTTTTATCTCACATGGTGCTATTTTATTTCCTCCAGAGAATTGTTTATGCCATTATAAAATTCCAGTGAATGCCACTAAATTCTAGGCATCAGACACACTGCTAATGAACACCATTAACGGCCTATTCAAAAATCAAAGGAAGAATAATTGAAACACACTCAGTGAAAATGAATGAATGGATCCTATGGCTTGCTGCCACATCTTTTCTTTCAGAGGGTGTCCAGTAATGGCTGCCGATGGGAAGCAGTCACAATCCATACTGATGGAAATACATAATCAGCATCAGAGTATCAATTATAAAGCCCTCTCTCTCCTCCCCCACCCTCTCCTACTAGAATTAGAAGCTTGCCATTCAGATCTCCAGCCAAGATTTTTGGAAGCCAGGGTCTTGATCAACATCAGGTCCCCAGCCCTATAGACCATTGATAAATTTAATTGGTACATAGCAGAGTCTAGCAGGGACTTGGGAATCAGGTAGATTTAAATCTGAATTCTAGCTCCATCACTCTCTAGCCGTGGACCTTAAGATGCATTATTGTCTCTCTCGCTCTCTATGCTCCATATCTCTTCTTTATTGAAGAACCTAACTTAATATTCCTAAGAATATTGAAGAGAACAAAGGAGGGAACTGTAGGTATAAACAAATGACACGGTACTTGGAACAATTTCGATTCACTCCCTTTCCTTTTCTTCTGGCCCTGCATTAGTCATTCTAGAACCCACTAAGAAAGAATGCAGTCGAGTGTGGTGATACATGCCTGAGACAGAGGGACTTGCAAGTGAAAGGCAAGAAAAAGGAGGATGAGTTTGAATTTAGTTTATGCAAATAGTGTGCTTCTATCTCAGGAATGAAATGAGTGGTAGAGTGGTTGCCAAACATGCATGGGAACTGGGTTCAGGTCCTAGTACTAGAACCAATCAAACAAGCAAATAAACAAAACAACCAGGTAACTTACATAGGCGTTTTCTTGGTCCACAGTTCTGGAAGCCAGAAAGTCCCAGAATGTGGAGCCAGCACTGAGAAGGCCTCCTGACCATCACATGGTGGGGTCAGAGGACATCACACCCTACACTTTTCTCATTTCTCTGCGGATGACTGAGACCTTCACCAGAAACTGGGTTCCAAGCCAAGAACAGGCACCTGGTAAACCACAGTGTCTACTTAAAGCCCAACATTGTAAGCCTTCATCTACAAGTTGCTTACTGGACTAGACTAGAATTCACTGAGTGCCGGTCATTCACACCTGTAATCCTAGCTATTTAGGAGGCTGAGATCTGAGAATGGTGGTTCAAACCCAGATAAATCTGAGAGATTCATATCTCCAATTAACCAGCAAAAGGTGGAGGTGGAGGTGGAGGTATGGCTCAAGTAGTAGAGTATCATCTTTGAATGCAAGAGCCAAATAAGAGCATAAAGCCCAGTGTGGGCACACACACACACACACACACACACACACACACACACACACACACACACACACACACTACAATTTCAGTTATAGTCTTTATACTTAAGATATAGTTGCCATTATACTTCAGTGTAAACGTTAAATAACATTTCTCATGACCATATATTTTTAAAGAATTTGAAGTGACATCTTGGATCACTTTTATTGGGGGACAGGTTGACTAAATGATCATATTCAAACCCCTCAATACATTTCTAGCAGGCTGTTGCTCCTTCTTTTATCCGGCCTCCTCTCTCAACCCACATCCTCCCACACCATTCCACTGTATCTCATCATACTCTAGCCTTCCCTCCCTTAGCTAACAGGGTCTTAGGCTGGTGTAATTCTAGTTTTATTTTTAGTTCTGCCAGAAAGATGTGGCACTAGGGGTCAGAGTCCTTGAGTAAAGAGAGAACTGTTTTCTAAAGGTCACTTGAACGATTTGAAATTACAAATTTTCTACCACAAGGGAATTATTTACACTTTCAGAGCCAAGATTTTCTGCCAGAAAAATGCTATTAGCATGACGGGTCGGGTGAAGTCTGAAGGAGATGGCTCTTTAGATTTTTATTTTGCGTGTATCAGTCTTGAACTCAGGGCCTGGATGCTGTCCTTGAGCTTTTCCACTCAAGGCTAACATTCTACCACTTGGAGCCACAGCGCCACTTCCAAGGAGCTGGCTTCTTGTGAGCAAGGAAATCCCACCCTGAAGTTTGTCATGCCCTCTGCTCGTGACAAAACAAGTGTTTCTCCTCTTTGTCATAAGTATTTTTTTTTAATGTCATACATGGATTTCTGGGTGAGCACTAGATCTTCGTATGTTTGCTGAGGAAAAGCAGATCAGGAAATGAGTAATTCTTAATCACATACTAACTGCAGAAATACGTCACAATAGAAAAGGAATAATAAAGTCTAAAATTAAATTCTCAAGACCTTACCAATGTAAATGTGGCTTGCTTTATACATAGTGTATTGCATCTAAATATAAAGACAGATTTGTTTATTTTTAAGTTAAAAAAATTTCTGAAGTCTTGAGTAAGAGAGAAATAAAACTCAAAAATTAAAAAGGCTTTAAGTTAAATAAATCCCTTGCTTGCTGTACAAGCAAGCACTTTGACTTTATTTTGTCATAAAACTTGCCATCGTTAATTAATCATTTCCAAGTTCGCAATTCAGTGGTGTTCTGAACCTGGCATGTTCAGTGGCACTAAATGAATGTGTCTATGCAACCAAACCCCCGATCCTTTTCATCTTGCAAAACTGCAACTTTCTCTCCATTGATAAATCTAGCTCCAGGAAAATTAGTGTTACTGTCTCAAAAGCAAAATAAAAACAAAAGGGCTGAGAGAGTAGTAGTTCAAGTGGTAGAGGAAGTATTCAATCCCTGTTTCAAGATAAAAGAAAAGAAAGGAAAGGAATTTATGGACAAGTATTCTTCACTTATTTTGTTTGTATTACTAACTTTTAGCCAAGGCTACTTATGCATTTTCACTTATTAATAAGTCAAATGTAGTCGCTTTAAAAAGGCCATACACTATAGTTTGTGTACAGGAGAGTTTATTAATGTGATATTAGATCCCATCCATTACTTTAAAATCTATGCATTGGTCTTAATTTAGATTACAAAAATTAAAAACAAAACACCAAACCCTCTATAGAAATTTGTTTCTTAAAAAAAGTGTGAAAGTAAAGGGCATAGCTTGAAGACAAAAGTACACACTAAGCAGTTTACCCAGTCTCACCTATATGTCTATCAAACCATTTGGAGAGAAACAAAAATAGGATTTTTCTGCTGAAGATAGAAATCACATAAACAACTCCTGATTCTTACACTTGTACCACGAACTTAATGATGTCCCAATGGTTTTCATTCTGTTTTTGTTTTTTGTTTAACTTTTGTCTTGCCAGATATAATAAAAGAACTTATTGTAAAGCAACTCAAAACTATCAGTTACAACAGCAGAACCAAAACCACATTCCAGAGATTTCCACTTGTCCTTAGACTAACAACAGCACTCAGACCACTGGGATTCTGTTCGTAGACTAAACCAGCACCCAGTCCACTGGGGTTCTGTTTGTAAAGTGCTAGGATGTCTACCCATAGATGCTCTCTAAGTTTGAAAGAAAGATCATTCTTCAATTTCTCTAACGCATTTTACATAAATGATTACATTGTTTCTTGGTCAAAATCATGATACAGGTTTGTGATTCTAGGGTGAATATTTCAGAAAGGTTAATATTTCATCCCAACTTCCAAAGGGAGGATAAACATTCATGGTTAAGTGGGTATTTTTTAAAAAATCCACTGATAGAATGCTGGCCAATGAGCAAAAGTATCAGGTACTAAGTTTGAGTTCTGGTCTTGGACTGGAATAAAACAAAGCAAAACAAACATGTCACTCTGGTAGGTGCTGTATGATTTCAGACACTAGTGATTCTAAGAAAAGATGAATATCCAAAGAGGAATGTTGAAAATGCATAGCCAAATGAATAAGAAGACTCAGAGTAAATGATTGTGCTAATTGGGATAAGGTTTGAAGTCAGCAAATAAAATCTTGCCATTAAAGGATTGAGAGTGAAATGGATACTGGATTTCAAATACATTTAGAATACCCGAAACAACTTAGAGAATACAAAGGTGTGTTCTTAAGTCATTTATGACAGACTCACTTACCTGGATTGACAAGCAAAGCTTAGCAAGGAGCTACATGCTTCCTCCAGGAAAATAAATGATCTTGGCTTCTCTCCAGGGGATGCAAAGAATCTAAAAGACAGACATAAAAAGACGTAACCCTTGTAAATTTCCATGTCTTAAACATAAGTATGATTACAAAATGGTATGATTTTCATGTGACTTAGCATACAGTACACAATTCAAAGTATTATCCTCCCCCCCAATAAAAAGCAGGAGGGGATATCTCTCTCCCATTTTACTGAGCAAAATGCAAACTATTTGACTTAAAAATGGAACACGGTGTTTAGGACAGTGAAGACCAAGGGAAGAAGTATGTCATACAAAGCAGAACACTGGCACATGAGGAAGAACACATCCCAAGGGCCGACTGGACAGCAAACGCCATGCGCACCACCAACTGCTGCTCCCAATTTGGCGCCTCTGCCTCTGATGCAAGAACGGTATTTAGAGTCACAGCCTGGCTTCCAGGCCAGGGTCCTGGGGTGCAGGTGCCACCCCTCTGTGCCAGCACCACGTCAAAAAACATCACCCATGACGTGACATACTAGAAAATCTTCCTGCAAGTTCATCTGGGGAGAGGGACTCAACCCACCTTCTTGGAAGGGTCCTCTTACTCCCTGATAGTGCACAAACTCACTCTGGAGAGAGGGTGGGCTGTGTCCCAGGGATCCCCTCATGTGCCACCCTGTCCCTCTCCACCTCCACGAAGAGCTGGGAGGGGGAGTAATTGAGCCCCTCTATGGGAGGAAATAGATACAATCCCCTGAGATAAAAGCAGAGCGGGAAAGGGGGCCAGGCTGAAGGCTCTGGATGGAAAAGCCAGCGGGTTATGTGCTGGAAAGGCCTTCCTGTGACCCTAACTATGGAAACTCTTGCTCAAGTGTCTCCATGATTTTTATCCCATCTGAACTTATAATTCAAATAATTACCATATGTACCTATGTGTGTAGAAGCCAAGCAAAATGGAGGGAAGCTACATAGTCATATGTATGTATAGAGGTACGTGTGTGTGCACACACTTGTGCAACTTGTTTCCATTTCTCAAGCAGTCCAGCATGATTTGCAGAAGGTGAGAGGAAAGTCTGGTAAGCCACTCAGGTCTGCAGACTGCTGGTGCCCTGCCCCCACCCCGTCTCCATGGGGACAGCCTCCTGGGGACCAAGTTGGAAGGTTTTCTCTGACTCACTGGTATTAACAAAATCAGCAGACACGTCAGGTGTATCATTATACACACTTAGAGTCTGTCTCTTATCCACAGTTTGCTGTGGGTTTAATATTAAAGCAGGTCACCAATTGCCTAAGACCAAAATTTCCAGACCCCAGCTCAGGGTGTCTACTTCATTTGGGCCGCCTTCAGCTTAGATCTCCATGGCCGACTTCCACCTGGGCTGGACTAATTAATGTATGTCTAAGTGGGACTGCAGTTGGCAGGAAGGCAGGCTTGTCAAAGAGAGATAATCACTGGGAGCAGCATCTGAGCTGTTTTCCTTCCTTGACAACACATAATGTAAGTTCACAGCCTGCAGGCCAAGAGTTGAGATGAATTTATAATTTGGCTTCCAATCAATCTCTTCTCATTGTCCACCACTAAAATTTCTTTTCTGTCTTCCAGCATGCAGGATGGCTTTAGACGCCAGGTACTGGCATGGTCTTTAGTGATAGCCTTTCATGAATATGCTTTGCTGTCTTAGTAGAAAAGTGGGAAAGGGAAGGACTCTACATACCTAAAGCCACTCTTGTTTTCATAATGAAAACAAATAGACCATTAGTGCATACCTCCATATGACCATTAATCTTACTTATTACTCTAGTGATTCGGACAGAAATGTTCAGAATCTTTTCATGAAGACACAAGAATCCACATTTATCCAGCTTGGAGAAACTATAGGATCCCCTAATTTCTTCTTTTTCTACAAAAAGAATTCATTAGTATTCTACTCCATGTTCAGTGCTGTGGCACACATCTGCCATTCTAGTTAGGCCTAGATCCGGAGGATCATAGTTCAAAGGCCAGCCTGGGAAAAAAGTTCAAAAGTCCCCATGTGGAAGAATAAAATGCTGGGCCTAGAGCCAGAGACAAGGGAAGGGTAAAGAGAAGGGTTGCAGTTCAGGCAAGCTGGGATAAGAAGTGAGACCCTCCCTGGATCACGTGATCTCTCTTCATAAGACATCTCAGGGGCAAAAAAGAAGAAGAAGAAAGCAAAAGGAGCAGGGAAAGCAGTGTCTAGCAAAAGCCAGACCCTGAGTTTAATCTGAACTATTGCCTAAATATAACAACAATAACAACAAACAAACAAAACCTGAGTTTCTTGGCTCTGGGAAGTGCACATCCTCTAAGCAGTTCTTCCCGAGAGGTGTCATCTCCAGCTACTAAGGCTAAAGGAAAAATACCGGGAGGCAGATTCACCCACAAAACCCACATGGCCCAAGGGGAAGAGCATGGTGGAGAATTGCAGAAGATGAACGAGAGCAGGCTAAGCAGAACAGGCTGTGTTCAACTGGACACAGCCCTATTAGGAGAAAGGGAAGGAACAGCCACAGTAGCTATCATGGGCTATACACACAGGAACTCACCTGTCCCTCCAATGACACTTAAAGATATGTGCATTGATACTTCCATAGTTATTTTTTTTACAAATGGAGAAAATGAAGTGCTTTAAAAGCTGACAAGTTAATTCATAGGACAGTAAGCATTTTTTTTTAACTTTTAAACAGAAAGTCAGTCAGGGAAAAGCAAGCTTTATGCTTCCCACTGTGTGACTGTCTTGTACGCCTAAAGGCAGGTAGCTTTGAGAGAGTGGGAGCCATTGAGGCCTAGGGAACACAGGCCTCCCTGGATCAGGTGATCTCTCTTCAAAAGAAATCTCAGTACCAAAAACATATCCTTGGAAAAGTCTCCTGAATATCCAGGAAAAAGACAGGACGGCAAGGTGCTACAAGCAAAACTAAATCCAAGAAGCATCTTAGAAAGTCACCATGGGACATCCCTCAGTCAAACACAGTGTCTCAGGGCGGGACTCTCCCCCGCCCCCAGCTGTCTGATGTCCATGTGCTCTTGATAATGTGGCATAGAGACTGAGGATCATAGAAGAGCTGGTGTGGCATCACACATTTTGGTTGTGGTGAGCAGTGGATGAAAGGTGGCAGGCTGAGGCCATGGAAGTCGTTTATCCAGGTCTTAGATGGTTTGAATGATGTTAAGTGAAGGAAGTCAGGCCCAGAGAAACAAAGGATCCATGTTTCCCCTTATATGTGGGAGCCAGATTTAGCTTACACACTCATAAGTACATACGCTGGGTGGTATGCAAGTGTGTAGGAATGTATTAACAAACATGGTAGACTCAAGGGAGATCTCAAATAGTGTAACTCCTTCGAAAGCCAAAATCAAAGTTCAGCAAAATTAAAAACCAGGAAGTGGATACTTGAAAGGGGTGGGGTGGGGGTGGGTCAATGAAGAGGAGAAGAGGGGAAAATGTTGACAAAAATGTAATGCATATCCTACAAAATTAAGAAGAGGGAAGAAGAGAAGAAGGGAATGATGGGTGAGAATGCTGAAATAATCCATCATAGGGCAAAATTATTTTTAGTGTGTTAAATGTGCTTATAAATCTATAAGTAAACACACTGGGTGGTATGCAAGTAATTACAAATAAATTAAGTATAATAGGCTCTATGGAGAGCTCAAATAGTAAAATTCTTTACAAAGACTATGTCAAAGCCCAACAAAACAAGCACCAGTAATGGGTAGTTGTAAGGGAGAAGGGGACCAGGAGAAAGGGGTAGATGAACGAAGGCGGAAGGCGGGTAGAATGCAGTTATTAAGTCATTGTGTATGCCACGAAATTGAAAAAATAAGGTTGAAGGTCAAGATGCATTGAACACATAAACTGCTCTGTTAAGTAGCAAAAAAATTCAATACATAACTCTAAAAATTAAGAAAAGTGAGGGAAGGGGTAGGCGGGGATGGGTGGTAACAATGTTGAAAGAGGTGACATTGATCAAGAAGCACTGTATTCATAAACTGCTTTGTTGAAAGGCAACTCCTGCACAACTACTTAAAGATAATAAAATATTCAAAAAAAGTTTCCAGTGGTTCACGCCTGTAATCGTAGCTACTCAAGAGGCTGAGATCTGAGGATTGTGGTTCACAGCCAGTCTGGGCTGGAAAGTCTGTGAGACTCTGATCTCCAATAAACCACTCAGAAAACCGGAAGTGGTGCTGTGGCTCAAGCGGTAGAGCACTAGCCTTGGGCTGAAGAGCTGAGAGACAGTGCCCAGGCCCAGAGTTCTAGCCCCACGACCGATTAAAAAAAAAAAGTTTCTCTCCACCACCAAAGGTTATTTTTCTGTCATTGAGTAAAATGATAAGCAAGAAGGTCTCTGGGTCCTGATCCAGAAAACATGGATTCATATTAAGTGAGAAGATGATATCTTTTTCCTATTCCTAATCCTTCCATTGAAATAGGTCATCTTTATCCTTATTTTCTCCATTTCAATTTCTCATCCTGGTAACTGCAGATCATCTTGGATTTTTTAAAATGCTATTTTTTAATAGTTTGAATCCTCTTCAAATTATCCACATGACAGAAAGTGAAAATGACTCATATCACCTGCCAGCCACAGATACAAATAATATGCTTTTAGAGCATAAAGAAAGAGTGACTAATTGAGCCTGGAGAGGGTCAGAGTTATAACTAATCTCTTTGAAAGAAATCAGATTGCCTCTGTTTGCCATTGGTTGCAAGGCCAATAGCATGATGCTTCTAAATCAGTTAAGATGCAGGCAGACAGCAAGGCACCTTCACAAAAAAGAGCTGTTTCCACTACACGGCCTGTAGCACCATTAGGCAACTGTTCATTGTACTGGACTCCCTCTCCCTGTGAATCCTCTGGGCTGGCCCTGTCTGATTAAACACTGCAGCTGCTCAGCTGGGGCTTGAGACCAATCACAGACACTAATGAGGCATGAACAGTGGCTCAGGGAGATCTGTTACACTTAATCCTGTCCAGAACAAGAGGTTTGGTTTCTTCAACAAGTGACTAGCAGACGTGCAGCCAGGCCGGAACAT